AAAAGGTACATTTACAACGATAATAATACGAATTAATGGTAACTTAAGGATGGTGCGTCACGACCGGGTGAATGTAGCGTCTAGACTGCCAGTCAACGTGTTCGGTCGGCGCTGTGATGTCACTCCTTTGTTCTTGTTTATCAGTCAGCTGTCTCCATTCATTCCCGACTCTCTCTTAAGTGATGGCCGTGTCGTAAATTTAATTAGATTGGAAAGATTTGTATGTCATTTAAAACATTTTGTTTGTCAAATTTTACTGCTCTGTATATTTCAAATCCTTCCAGTGTATTTATTTTTGTTGAAACGGTCGTTAGATAAATTTAATACGGTCATGTTGTTGTCAATATTTGTGTAATTATGATTATCAGAAACTAAGTGTTTGGCAAAGGTTGAGGTTTGAGCGGACGTTGTTCTCCTTGGAAGATAATCTTTAAATCTCTTCTTGAAAGAACGAGCTATCTGCCCAATATAATATTTAGGGCAGTCGTCGCAACTGATCTGATGTCAAAAATCTGAGTCATCGTTTGGGGTCGATCTTTCAGTAAAGTTCCGAGTTTGTTAGCTGTATTAAAGGACACAGTGATGTTATTTTTGGCCATGATGTTTTAAAATTTTTTAATTTATTGCTTAAGGACAATAAAAAATTAAAGTGGTTTAAATACCTGCAATGTCGACAATCCCAAGTGGTTGTGAAACAACTAGTTTCGGCTCATAACGGAGCCATCTTCAGGTTTTCCAAGGACATAATCACTTCTTCCGAAGGTCGTCAAAGTTCACAAATAATTTACATACATTTAAAAACATTAAAAAAAAACACGTAACACGCATGCCTAGGCCTAGCTTTAACGACATGACCGGCGGGAGTTTACGTCTAGACTACCGGGCACTATGGTCGATGCGTCTTATCAGTAACAGGTTGTTTGTGGGTATCATTCTTCTCCCTCTCCCTTTCCATTATTTTTATTGTGGTGTTGTAAATAAAGTTAGAAGCAAATGAAAGCTTGTCGTTTAGCACGTTTTGTTTATCTGATTTGACTGCCTTATAAATTTCGAATTCTTCTAGCGTGTTGATCTGAAATTTATTTTTATTAAAATGTAGAACTGTCATGTTGTCATTGATGTTGGAATAGCTATGGTTGTTTGTGATTAAATGTTCTGCAAAGGTTGACGATTGTGTGGATGTGGTTTTCTTGGGGATGTGTTCCTTAAAACGTTTTGTAAAAGAGCGTGATGTCTGGCCTATGTAATAACTATCACAATCGCTGCAATTAATTTGGTAAACACCTGTCTTATCGTAGTTTGATGTAGATATGAGCGGACGTTCCTTCAACTTAGAGCCAAGTTTGTTAACCGATTTAAATGCCACTGTGATGTTGTTCTTGGTCATAATATTTTTAAATTTGTAACTTAGATGAGTTCCAAAATCAGCTGATAAAAATGTTTTAGGCTCTTTTGCTTTGTTTCTATCTTTATTCTGATGTTTAGCTACCAGTTTATCTACTATATTACTTTTGAATCCATTTTTTACAGCTATGTATTTGATGGTATTTAATTCCTCTTCATAATCTTTTGCGTTCAGTGGTACTGTCAATAATCTGTGTACAAAACTGTTGTATGCAGCCATCTTTTGAGAGTATGGATGGTGTGACTCTGAATTAATGGTTTGGTCAGTGCACGTCGGTTTTCTATAGATTTTAAATTCAAAGTGGTCTTTTTGTTTAACGATGGTGAGGTCGAGAAAGTTGATAGAGCTGTTTTTCTCCTCTTCTAGAGTGAATTGGATGTTTTTATGGATGCTGCACAAATATGTATTTAATAGGGTCAACTGTCTGCTGTTTCCGTTAAAGAGAACTATTGTGTCATCTACATATCTATGGTAAAAGATAATTTTATCTCTGTATCGATTAGCCTCTGTGAACAATGTTCTGTTTTCAAGGTCGTTCAAGAATACTTCAGCCAAAATACTTGACAGAGGGGAGCCCATAGCTAAACCATCTTTTTGGATGTAGAAGCTATTTTGAAATTTAAAATAATTCTGTTTTAGTACAACATTCGTTAGTTTTATCAGATCATCTATTGCGTCTGGTGAAAGTTTGGAATTCTTCAGTAAGTTCAATTTGAGAATGTCTATTGTTTCGTTAACAGGGATATTAGTATAAAGATTCACGATGTCAAATGATGCTAGTCTTTGGTTATTTTTTATTGAAAGTGATTTCATTTTGTCAATTAATTCTAGGCTATTTTTAAGGCTATGGTTGTTCTCCAAGATAATTTCATTTCTGATTATAATATCAAGTTTCTTTGCTACTTTATATGCTGGTGAAGGCATAAAGTTAACGAGAGGTCTTATAGGTATGTCGGGCTTGTGAATCTTTGGTAATCCACGGAGTATTGGAGCTTGTGGGTTTGTGACTTTTAAAGAATTTATTTCAGTTTTCGAAAACAAATGTTTGCTTTGAGATATTGCCTGGTTAATTGTTTTTGTGTTATTGGCTGTAGGGTCTTTGTGTAGAGTTTCGATATTGTTATTTTTTATGAAGTTTTCAACTTTGTTGACATAGTCGTCTTTGTAAAGGATTACGATGGAGTTTCCCTTATCAGCTTTGGTTATCACGGCGTTCTGCTCGGCAAGTTTTGTCCTGACGCTTGTCAAGGCACGTCGCAATGTCTTGAACCTATCATTGTACCTCTTTGTTCTCACAGGATTTTTTGCTATGTCTTTAGCTTTGTTGCCCATGATGATACGTGCTGTCTCTTGGACATCATTTGATTTAATACCTTTAATGGCTGCCTCTATATTTAACAGTTCTGTTACTAGACTTTGTTTTTTGGTGTTTGGAAAATTAAAGTTTAAACCTTTATTTAATAGATTCATTTCATCTTTATTGAATTCTATTTTTGTATTATTTACTACTCTGTCAAAGAATTTATGAGAACATTTAATTATATCTGCTTTAAGTTGTGATTCCATTAGGGTTTTTATCTTTTTTCGTTGTGTTAGTTTTTTGGTAAATACTTTTTTGCTTATCTGAGAATCTAATTCAATCATTACATTGTTTACTTGAGCCATGTGCAGTTTGTTCAACAGTTCGATGTGTTTCTAAATAATAACTTGTTTAAAACATTCTTTTTGAAATATAAATGTTTAATTTCATTTTTTATCCATGTAACTTCAGCGAGTCTCTTGGCTTTCAATGCAGGCTTTGATTTGCTACTGACTCTTACATTTACGTAATTTGGGATCAAATTATTCTCTATGCATGTTTTGTTGAACTTAATGTTTTCTGATGTTTTATTCAATTTTAATTTTGACCTCACCATCGTTAAACAAAAAGACCACTTTGAATTTAAAATCTATAGAAAACCGACGTGCACTGACCAAACCATTAATTCAGAGTCACACCATCCATACTCTCAAAAGATGGCTGCATACAACAGTTTTGTACACAGATTATTGACAGTACCACTGAACGCAAAAGATTATGAAGAGGAATTAAATACCATCAAATACATAGCTGTAAAAAATGGATTCAAAAGTAATATAGTAGATAAACTGGTAGCTAAACATCAGAATAAAGATAGAAACAAAGCAAAAGAGCCTAAAACATTTTTATCAGCTGATTTTGGAACTCATCTAAGTTACAAATTTAAAAATATTATGACCAAGAACAACATCACAGTGGCATTTAAATCGGTTAACAAACTTGGCTCTAAGTTGAAGGAACGTCCGCTCATATCTACATCAAACTACGATAAGACAGGTGTTTACCAAATTAATTGCAGCGATTGTGATAGTTATTACATAGGCCAGACATCACGCTCTTTTACAAAACGTTTTAAGGAACACATCCCCAAGAAAACCACATCCACACAATCGTCAACCTTTGCAGAACATTTAATCACAAACAACCATAGCTATTCCAACATCAATGACAACATGACAGTTCTACATTTTAATAAAAATAAATTTCAGATCAACACGCTAGAAGAATTCGAAATTTATAAGGCAGTCAAATCAGATAAACAAAACGTGCTAAACGACAAGCTTTCATTTGCTTCTAACTTTATTTACAACACCACAATAAAAATAATGGAAAGGGAGAGGGAGAAGAATGATACCCACAAACAACCTGTTACTGATAAGACGCATCGACCATAGTGCCCGGTAGTCTAGACGTAAACTCCCGCCGGTCACGTCGTTAAAGCTAGGCCTAGGCATGCGTGTTACGTGTTTTTTTTTAATGTTTTTAAATGTATGTAAATTATTTGTGAACTTTGACGACCTTCGGAAGAAGTGATTATGTCCTTGGAAAACCTGAAGATGGCTCCGTTATGAGCCGAAACTAGTTGTTTCACAACCACTTGGGATTGTCGACATTGCAGGTATTTAAACCACTTTAATTGTATCTCGATAATCCGGAGGCTACCCATTCGAAAAAATGACAATAAAAAAATTAAAAATATTAAAAATGGTCAAGCAACTCTTATTGGATCACTTGATATGGATTGGCCCTATTATAAAATTGGTGTGGTTAGGTTAGGATAAAACCATAAAACCCTTAATAGATTTGTCATCCTTATTGATCAGCTGAAGACAACTTTATTGTTAGTTATGTCCAGGGCCGCTAGGATTGTGTTTTTGTTAACAATTTGTTTCTTGTTATTTCAGTTATTTAAAACCTCGTTTAACCAAATAAAACAATCTTATGATAAAAAATAACTTGTCCCCCAGTTATGTAACCAAGCAGTAAAGCTCAAATCATGAAACTAACCCTAAATAGAAACAAAATTTCGTCCACACAAGCGCCCAGTGTCCCCAACATGAACTAGACACGAAAATCAAAATTTACAATGGCATAAGAAGTCTACTTGTGTTAGTTACTCTATGTTTTGTCATAGATATGACATAATGATTAGTCTATGGTTATGTTCTACTTATTTTTTTTTATTTCGTGCTGTAATAAAATTATAATATTTACTGTTTTTTCATGTTCTTACAGACAACATATATGGAGCTGGACCGCATGTTGTCCAACCCCCAGCTAGACAGAACAACGAAACTCATTGAAGAAGGTCTCCAGTCCCCACTCAATAGCCATATAATGTTACTCATTTCAATTTTGTATTTTTTGTGATTTGAAAATTTTATGTGAGGTATTTGCACAGGCTTGTTAGAATGGGTTAAACAATTATTGATTCTACATAAATATTCTTTTCAAAAACCTTATACATTAAATGTTATTCAATAAATCTGTGTGTTAAAATGCATTTAGAAATAGAATTCAGTCTAAACAATAATTAAACTGAAATATTAGTTAAGTTTGTGCGTGTTAAAAATTATATGAATAATTGTTTGTACACCTAGCTCAAATATTTTTCTTTGCATACTTCACATATTGTCATACCTTGCCAGAAACTAAAAAAAAAATGGCCTACAGTACAACCTTGTTTAGTCAATCTAGCAACCAGCTGGGAACATAAAGAAACCAGAAAACGAAGAAAGATTAGAAAATTACAGCAAAAAAGAGAAAATATAAATGTAATAATTTATTTTTTCACAGATAAAACAACCTTACCAAAATATTTAAACAGCACTAGAAAACAAAAATAATCCCAATGCCTCATACACAGGAATGTAACGCTACAGTCAAGCATCAGATGTAGTCACAGCAACCTTACTTGCCCCTAACAATCTCCTCTTGATTATGTGCTCACATAAAGCAACAGCACTACCAAAATGCATATTTTATATTAATTTCTTATCATGTTTTTCAGTTGTAAACCTCTTCGGGTTTTATGAGATACAACATGAAGGGGGCCGATTCAACGGGGTTGTACTGTATCTGTTGTTTAGGACTGAATTATTAGTTTAATTTCCAAACCAATTCGGATGATATAAAAAATGGGATTTTAATGTTATTGCTAGATTAAGGCTAACAGTTATTTGTTGTTCATTTCATTAGAGATGTGTAGACAGGTGTTGTATGTTTTTGAATTATGAGGTTTTAATGTTAATGCTAGATATTATTCTTAACAATTGTTTTTTGTTCATTTCAGTAAAGATGTGTAGATAAGTGTCATGTAATCAAAACACTATTTATATTACTACTATTCCTCGTATTACTCAAACTGCAGGTCAATACTTCTCAGTGTAAGTTGTTTCTATTGTTACCACGAGTTTTTTTTTTTTTAGCCGAGTCAGTATGGTCTCAGTATGGTAAGTTTTAAAAGCAATGACCAAATTTTTAAACTCCCGTTATTTACTTACCTTCTAAACTAATTTGATAAAGTTTAATTGCAATTTTTTTATAATGATCCATAATTTCAAAATTATATCAAATCTAAATCTGAAATCTGTTTAAAGAAAGTTCTCAATGAATTGCTTTGTGAGGTTTAATCCTTTGTGCTACATTCTTGTGATGATTTTGAACATATTTCCATATTTGAATATATATATATACCTTGCTGCCTTAAAGTCAATACTTTGTTAAATACAGTAATTAGTTTTAAGGATGTAATTAAGATTTTTTACTGTTTATTAAATATGTTATGATAAAAGTAAGTTATTTTTTATTTGTGATCCTTGTTGATACAAAATAACTAGTGGCGTAGCCAGGATTTGGTTTTAGGTTTTCAATTTGTTGTAAACTTACCTTCCTTAGCAGAGTCCATTTAATTATTAAAACAGTAATAATTCAACTCTTGAACTAGAAAAAACTACTTTTGGCCATGTATCATTGTTTATTTATTGACAACTACAATAAAATATTCTAACATAATAACATACAAAAGAACAAACTATTTATATCAATAGAGAATACTAGGTGAAACCCGTTGAAATTGACGGTTACTCTTGAAGTTTCACGCAAATTCAGCTAACTGTGATGGATAGAGTGAAGTTATTAAAATCCTAAAATCTAAAACAAGCGCATGTACGGGCAAACTTTTTCTGTCTGAGTATTTTTCTTTCTTTCATATGGGGTATTTGGCCATGAGAAATCTAGTGGAGTTGTTCGCAAGGCTGGGAAAAATCCAGTTTCCGTCCTACAAAATAGGATTTAGACAACAAAATAAAATTATTCATGAACGCATATAGTTGGCCTAGTATTAGTGCCCAGGATGAGACTGAAATTGGAAACTAAACTTAAATAAAAATATTGTGTCACTGTAATGATATCTTATATTTAGAATTTTTGTTTCCTTTTTGGATCAAATTTTGTGCTTAAAGCTTAAGAATGTTGGCAAAATTAACCCAGCTGTCTCTGTCTCTGCTCATCACCAACCGGACCAGCGACTATCTAACTACAGCTAGCTCCTCGTCTGCTTTCTGCTTAAGTTTACACTCCTACATGCTTACATTAAAATAATTTACTTCTTGTTTTGTTTTTTGAACGGTTCCAAGACCCTACGAATGCCGAAAAGAAAATTTGTATTTTCACTTCCGTTAGATTTTTTGTGAAAAAGTTACCTTGTTCTAAAAAAATCAACACAACTCCGACCTTTAAGCAGTTGAAAATAGTCTAAAACTTTTTTTAAAAGCCCTTAAATAAAACGCATAAAAGTAATTCTAAATCTATAAATATAAAATCCTATGTATGTTTGTTTGTTTGTTTGTTTGTCCTTTATGGACTCCGAAACCGCTTGACAGATTGTAATGAAACTTTCAGGCATTATTAAGCATTATTCAAGGATGGTTTGTGTGAAGTTTGGTGCAGATCTGTCAAAAGGGCTCCGCCCCAGTGGCTCTGGAGTTTCCCATGTTACCCTTATGAGTTATCATGTTTAAAGGGAATTAAAGAATCTTAACAGCTGGTTCAACCAAACAATTTGATTCTGTGATATTCAATAGCATTAAAAAATTAATAGGCTTACCAACAGTGTGCAGCACTATTATTTTTTTAAATTTATGACAACAGCTAATTTGCAACCAAAAGGTGAGTGAGCGTAGAGAACGAACTTCAACCTGGAGGCGAGTTAGCGTAGCGAACGAGCTAACCTGAAGGCAAGTGAGCTCCGAAAACAAGCTCTAACATAAAGGTGAGTGAGCGTAGCAAACAAACTTCAACCAGTACGTGATTGAGCCATGCAAACGAGCTCATCTTGAAAAAAATTGAACGAGCATTTGACATAAAACCACATTAGGACAGGACAATGTCTGTCGGGCCAGCACTAGCCCGACACTAAACTATTAAAATAAACGGTTTCAGCAATCTGACACATACTTTCTCCCATTAGCTTGTCAACAACCCTTATCATGGGTAAGCAATGAGAGTAACTATGGTATTTAATAGGTAAGGTCTCAAAAGTTTCATTAGCTTTTGAACAGTAGTTTTTACAGGAATGAAGGGATGCTCTATTTTCAGAAGAATTTTAATCAGAATTGGGTTTTTTTTTCAAAAAATCCATATTTCCGGTTTTTTAAATAGGATTTTATGGGGAAATAACATAAGTTCATAAGTTACAACCATAGTTTTACAGCAATGGGGGATTGCACTGTGTTGTTTGGAATTATAAGTATTACCACATACTAATTTCAATCTAAGCCGGTTCCTTTCGAAAATATGACTTTCTTATTTTATGAGGTTTTTTTATGGGAAAATAACATAATTTGCAATAACTTTTGAACCGTAATTTTTACAGAAATGGGAGTTTTGCCATTTTGTTCAGAATTTAAAGGGCTACAACATACTAAATTTTATCAAAATCGTTCGGGCCACTTTTGAGAAAATCCGATTTTTCCGTTATTTTATGGGAAAATTGACATTAAAAATCAAAATGAAAAAAACTCCTGGAGATACCATGGATTAGTACCTACATACCAAATTTCATCAAAATCGGACTTCATGTGGTCTGTAGCTCTGTACACATCTAGACACACAGACACACACACACACATAGACATCACTTTGAAAACCACTTTTTTGGGTCCAGGGGGACCCAAAACGGATATATCCACTCAAACTCGAAAATTTTGACGAAAGCAATACTTTCTCCATATACTATGGTATAGGGGGAGAAAGTAAAAAATGAGGTGACCCCTCCCTCCTCCAAGGTAAGTGCCGCGAGTCATGATTGTCCTCTTTTTTTGATGGAGGGTCCCTGGGAACACTAGCATCGGAGAATAAAAGGAGAGAAATAATTTAAGATCCTATGGCCGTGCAAAATAATGAACAACAGGCTGATCATCTTAAGCAGGAGTGTCGAATGTCGACGAACCTCTGTTCGACGTTTGGAAGAACCTCAGTGCACTGAAATTCCTCAAACATCTAAACTCGCCATGTCAGCAGATTTTGGATATTCACGATTGGAACCGTTTGACCAGGCATGAATGCACACGACGTGTGTCCCAAACTGATCCGCAGTTGGAGGGTAGTTCTTCTACATGCAAACTGATCCAGAAATCTGGCAGGTAGAAAATGAGATCGCTTGAAACATCCAGTTTTATCCGCGAGGCGTAAGGGATTTTTTTTTTATAGAGGGCCAGGCTTACAAGTAACCATGGGATTGCATCGGAGCTGGAACAGCTTATTGTGCACCCTCATTCACAGGTCCTCATTTTCCATCAAATCCCAGGTCCTTTGTTAACCTGTTCTTCCCTTTGATCTCCAGTCGATAGGCCAAGGGATCTCATATCAGACCTTTTAGGGCTGGGCACATAAATATCACGTGGAAGGCTGTCTCTTCCTCCTCTCCACATTTCCTGCATAAGAGGCTTTCAACTTGAATTTCCATCTTGCGTAGATGTCTGCGGAATACCCAATTGCCGCTGATGAAGCCAACCACTTTCCGCAGGGTCTTCCTATTCAGCCCAAAGGCATCTGCCGCTATCGCACCAGTAGGTGTCTGCAGCATTCTCTTTGACTGTACGTTGCCTTCTGTTCTTTCCCAGCTCCTTCGATATTCTATGCCCATCCACTGGTGAACAGATCTCCGTGATGTGTTGTAAGCAATAACCACACGTCGGCTCTGGACCCATGAGCGGGCTTTCAGCTTCTTTTTTTGCCCACTTGTCAGCTCCCTCATTGCCAGCAATACCTTTGTGCCCTGGAATCCAACTTAGGATAATCTTGTTGTTCTCTCCCAGGGCTTTCATGGCCCGATGACAGTCCCATACAGCCTTAGAGGTAAAGTTAAAACTGTCAAGTGCCATTATTGCTGCTATGATGCCCGAGTTCATGTATATAGTGTGGCCTGTCAGACCACGCCTCAAACACACTCTTGCATACTTGGACAGGGCAACAACTTCTGCCTGGAATACAGTGGCCAGTTTCCCCAGGCTTACACAAAACTGTGCCTTGGGTCTGACTCCATATAATCCCGCCCCAGTGCCCGTTGCTGGCTTTTTCAAGCCATCCGTATACCAAGTGATCCCCCTTTACCAGGGCCGTCCCTAGGGTTGGTGGCGCCCGGAGCAAACGTGGTTGTGGCGCCCCTTCCCCCCCCAGTAATAGTCAGTGCATTCGCATATTTTAATACTATGTTAATACAAACCCCGCTGTGTGGCACCCCCTAAGCCACGGCGCCAGGGGCAGGTTGCCCCTCCCCTTCGGACGGCCCTGCCCTTTACATGTATTCAGGTTTATCCTTATCCCAGGCAACCCTTTCAACAATGTTGACATTGTATGGCTTTCCAAGATCTGTGATCTTTACCATCCTGTCTGGTAACATTTCCAAGGTGTCCATCTGCACCTTATCCACAATTCTTGTAAGCTCTCTGGAGGCATTATACTTCCAGTAGCCACTGCAAACCATTCTGTAGGCTGCCATCCTTGCCTCTCCTTTCACAATAATGTCGAGAGGTGGCAGGTTTAGCACTACTCACAGGGCTGCAGTTGGCGTGCCTCTCATAACTCATGTGATACTAAGGCATGCCACTCGCTGGATCTTTTGTAGTCTCTTTTGTGACGGGTCGATTGTATCAGGTAATAAACAAATAACTAGGTGAACCCGTGCGAATTCGCACGAATTAGGATATTATAGCAACGTCGCTAGAAGTTGCGTCGTTGTATCGACGTTGGTCTTGAGCTCGATCGTTGGCTTGTGCATTCTAAGTTCTTTTTGTTGTTCAGTGGAGTATTTTGAAGAACAGATCTCATCATGCTGAAAACTTGCGTGTGGATTAATATCAACTAAATGTTGAGTCAAAATGTGCATGAGTTCAGTGCTGCAAGAGCTTTGTTAAGCATTCTTTCTTGAACAGCGGTTTCGACGTCGTATATATAAATTTGGGCATATGTGGGATGCTCCCATTCTGACGGTTGAAAGGTGCCAATTGAGTGATAAATTGTATCGGGCACCTTATACTTGAAAGGCCCTCCACCGTTGTTATGTTCTTCAATTTTAGCTTGAGTGCTGACCATTGCGAGTGCAGAGTTGTACAATCTAATGTTCTCTTTTTAGTTTCTGCTCAAATTACCCATGTAGCACAGATGGTTGGGCCAACGTTGGTAAATTGTGGAGCCACACGGTTGGCCAACGGTAGAAATGTCACCTCTTTAAACTGTTTTCCAACCAACCATTGTCCAACAATGGCCCAACCATCCAAAAATACTGATGGCCAAC